AGACATCAGCGGCACTTTCCTTCGATTGCACCTCCCTGCGATATTCATCTTCGAATGGCTCCACCGCGAGATTTCAGAGAATATGTGATTGGAATTAATCTCTTTCCTTCTTCACGGTCCTTCTTCAGGGAGATTCCAACGATCGGTACCAATTAAGAATAGGTAATTTCCCCTTTTCTTAAAAAATCATAATTGTTTTTGGAATGATTGACCTTCTTTCCTTCTTATGATGATTAGTCTCTGCGAAATTTGTTCTTCTTTCGAATTTTCCGGTTCAAATCTCTGGATTTTCTACCCTTATTGCTGTAAGTTTCCTTCTTGCGATTTATATTAGGTCATATATAAATCAAATTTTAAGTAAGCCATTTTATCAATCTATTTTTTCATTGTAAGCCACGTTCATACCTAAAACATATGATTAATTGACATGTCTTCCAAACCGATCCACCCTTTGTTGAAGATCAATCCATCAAGTGAATGCTAGAGAGTTTTGGTTCGTGTGATTCGACTGTACAAGATGCCAGTGAATAATGATGAGAAGGAAACAAAACTCTTAAAGGTTCTCCTGCAACTCCAACTCACTTCTTGGTTGTTTCCACCAAGCTACATCTTTTTTTTTCTTTTTTTTTTGTTTCAATTATTTAATCAAAATATCTCAACAGTTTTTTTATATCCTCTTTCTTATCTTTATATAAATAAATGTTTTTTATTAAAGTATTGAAGCTTTTCCAAAAATAAACGGTGAAGCTTCTTTTTTCATCTCAATGAATAAATGATCTATTGATAAAGTTATTGAACACTTCAACCTGTTCTTATTTTCAGATTTATAGTCTGCTGTTTTTTTATCATGTTTTTTGGTGTTCATTATTTTTTATAGTCCTTGAAGATTCTACCTAAGACTTGAAGCTTATGAAATTCCCATAACTATTCATGTTTCCTTGATATTTTGTAGGAAACTACTATCCATGCCACTGTAAGAAAAACTCTGGTGGGAACTTTTGAGAAGAAAATAAAGGAAGGATCAGTATATGTATTTGCTTACTTCGGCATCGGCAATAGCAGTGGATATTATCGCACTTCACGATATGACTTTCGCCTAAATTTCCAAGCAAGGACGACTGTCACGGAAACCAAGACTACCTCTAAAGTTCTAGAGAAGACAATTTCCAATAGTCTTATGTTTTGCTATGACTATTAAAAAAAGTCATGGTCAAACATTGTCATTTGTTGGATTATTTTTAACCAAGTCAGTGTTCACTCATGGTCAGATGTATGTTATTGTTTCGCGAGTGAAGACAAAGACAGGATTAAAAATATTAGTCTTAGATGATAATAGAAATCCTTGCAGTCATACAAAAAATGTTGTATACCCTGAAATCTTTCAAAAAATTTGATATTAAAGCAAACTTTGTTGTGTGTAGATTTAATCCTCAAATATTATTCTTTTTACTTTGTCTTTCTTTTCTGTGTTATTATAAATCATGCATGAGGTATATTTTCTTTATTCCGGAAAAAAATATTGCATTGAATAAATTCAGAATCGACAAGATATTCGTAACCCGTGCATTGCACGGGTAGGAATACTAGTATTACTATGATTTCCAACAAATAATGTATACTAACATAGAGAAAAATAAATAGATAAAAATATAAAGAATACTATAAGTCATTTAAATAAAATATGCAGTTCATTAAATATAAAAATTATTTCAATATTTTTCATTTAATTTATTCTAACTTTTTTTTAGTTTTTTTCCAACTCATAGTGTCTTTCAACTTCATCATGTCGTCCTCTAGCCACATCTTTCCATTTAATTTATATTATTCAAAATTTTTACTTAAAAACTTATGCTACCTCAGACTCTGAATATTTGTCCGTTTTTAGTTTTTTTGGTCAAAATTAGTAAACTTTTACCTTAAATCAAATAAAAATGATATTAGATATTGATATAAAAATAGTTTTATTAGATTTATTAGATCAAATATTTTCAAAATATTATTTTATTTAATTAATATTTAGTATATATGTTATTTAATTATAGGTCAAATGTTGAAAACGATTGACTGAAAAAAGTCAAAACTAGACAATACTCAGGGACAGAGATAGTATAAATTAATTGAACACAAAACGACAAGATAAAAGCGTCGCACTTTTTTCAATAAAAACAGAATTCAAGTCATCGAAATTAAAATACAGAACAAATATTTTAATGTTGGAAAATATTAGCGTGTGTCTAAATATCTTTGATTAATCGTAGGGGTGGACACGGTACGGTTCCGGTTCCGGAACCGCCGGTTCCGGTTCCGGAACCGCCGGTTCCGGTACCGCCACCCCATGTCACCGGAACCGTCACCGTGCCGGCCGGTTTCGCCCCCCCCCCCCCTTTTTGCTTTTTTTAAAATTTTTAAGTATAAAATTTTAAATTTGCAATTGTTTAAGGAAAGAATGAAGTACCGGAATGTAGTTGTTATCTAAAAATGTAGTTGTTATTTAAATATTTTAAATGAATAATACACTAACTGAAGAACAACCACATTTAATATCCTGACGGTTCAAAAAAAGCGACGAGGTAAAGAACCGTAAAGAAACCCTCGAAGGAGCTTATATATCGCTNTTTCGAAAATTTCAAAAAAAAAATAGAGAATATATTTAAAATATATATTATATATTTTTTGATATTAAAGAAATATTAAATTTCGAAAATTTCAAATAATTTCGAAATTTTTTATATTAAAATATAATATATTTAAAAAAAATGTATAAAAGAGATAATAAGATATTAAGATTGAGAAATTAAAATGATAGATTGAGATATTGAAATTTGAGAGAATGAGAGAATAGAGATTAGAGAGTAAGAGAGATGGATATGGATTGATGAGTTTGATTTTTTTAGAATTTAGAAGAAAAAATGAGTATTTATAAAAAAAATAACCCCGCTTCCCCCCCCCCCTCCCCATGACCCACGGCCAATTAGCCGTTTTGGCCGGGCCCCCCCACTAACTTTGTTTTTTTTGCAGGTTACCGTTGGAGAGCAAAAAGGAGAAAAAAAAACCGGTACCGGCGGTGCCGGTAACGATTTTGGGGCACCGGAACCGAGACCGGATGTGGCGGTACCGGTGCCGGTTCTGAACCGTTTCGCCGTCCCGGTTGCCGTTACGGTGCTTGGTACCGGCGGTACCGTTTCCGGTGACGGTACCGAACCGGTACTGTGTCCAGCCCTAATTAATCGTCCTGAAGGATAGCGTTATGAAGCATAGTAACCCATCAATGTGCAAATTCTTGTCACCCTAGCGTCTGGTCTTTATTGCGACACCAGACGCCCCCGGGGCTGCAATGCTCTCCCGCTGCTCGGCCTGCCCCTTGGAGCAATGCGACGAGTCTTCCCTTTCCCATTGTAAATGCTTTTAGAATAAAAATGAAGAGATTTACCCTCAGACCAAAACCAATAAAGTCGTAGTAACTTGAAAAAGATATATGTAACCATGACTCCAAACTTTGCACAAATCATACATATTGTTAACAATCCTTAGGAAATGGTCGTGAAGCCCCCGGACTTCAAACATTCTCTCTTAGCCACATCAATTTTAACTTGCATCACAATTTCACTGGAAATGGGTTTGAAACCTCGATCGAGACTTCAAAATGGATCTTCAAACCTCTATTTTTACATTTTATATACACATCTTGTAAAATTAAATTAATAAGATATCATTAATTAATTGAATTTAAACGATAATAATTTATTAAATAAAAAAATACATTGATAAAATAAGATTTGAATACTAACAACATAATTAAAAAAATCAAAAATTACATTACACTAAGAATTATATTATGAAAAATTGAAAATGTGTTGTTCTCTATGATTATATTATGAAAAATAATACATGCGGACATGATATTCCCCATTTTTGTTTGAGAATAATACTTGGACGGACGATTTAGAATGTGTCACTTACCATTCAACACTCTGAAGGCTTGTTCGATATCTTTTCTCGCCGCCTCATGAGCTTTTTGTAGGTATGATGTTTAAGACTCATTAGTTCGGAAAGAGACTTCACAATTGTGGAATAATCTAGATATATTTTATTGGCAAGATAATATCTATGCTTGTAAAGCATCCCCCCTAAGCTCAAAAGACAAGTCGGGTGCAGTATCATTAATCCAATCATCAAAAATACATGATTGATCAAGAACATTGATGTCATTGTTCAAGCTTGCAACACTAAACAAAACATGCCAAAACCAAGTCATGTGAAGCCACAACTTCAAGCATAAGAATAGACCTGGGATGATCACTCCGGAAAAACTGACCACGCGGACAAATTTTCCATTTCCAATTTGTGCAATCGATGCTCCCAAGCATGTTGACAAAGCCTTGTTTAGCGACATGTCTTGTCTGTAACTACTCAATGTCACTCGCTGTCAGCTTACGTGAAAACCTTATATGATAAAGTCCAATAATAACTTTCAAAAATTTATAAACACGTAACCTGATCAATGTTGCTCGTTGTCGGCTTACGTTACTATTACTACTACTATTATTATTTTATTCATTATTATTATTGTTATTATTACTATAATACTATTACCATTACTACTATTATTATTACTATTATCATTATTTCTATTATTATTAGTATTATTATTTCTATTACTACTATTATTATTGTGATTGTTACTAATATTTTTATTACTATTACTATTACTATTATTATTATTATTTATATTACTATCATTATCAGTATTATTATTATATTTATTATTATTATATTATTATTATTATATTATTATTATTATTTATATTATTATTATTATTATTGCTTTTATTATCAATATTTCTATTATTATTACTTCTATTATTATTATTATAGTTATTCTTATTACTATTCTTATTACTATTATTATTATTATTATTACTAATATTTCTATTATTATTATAACTATTATAATAATAATCTTACTTTTAATTTTAATTAAATTTATATGATCCAATCAAATTAAGTCAATCTGAAAGATCAAATCAAAACTTAAAAAAAACACAGATCCGAGGCAAAGGAAAGCAAGAAAACGCAGCCATAGGAAGTGGGGGATTTCCAGAAACCGCATCTCGCTGTTCTCCTTCCTACAACCTCTCCATTTACCTAAGCCATGTCAATTTCCGTCTCAGCACTCCGTTCTCCCAACACATTTCACAAACAAGCCACGCGGCTCTCCTCACATTCCCCACCTCTCGATCGGGTTCGTGCCAATTCAATAGCTCCTTCTGGCACTCCACAACCTCGAGCAATCACACTGAGATTAAGAGAAGCTCACAGATTTCACGGGGTTCTTTTAGAGAACTTTGGGTATCCAGCGGTCAGGAATAATGGGTTTTTGTCTAGAGCTGAGAATGATGGAGGCGGGACAGAGAGGGAGGCGGATGAAGTTGACATGGAGTCCCGCGGACAGAGCTCCATGCCGGAGAGGTTTAGGTATTTGACAAAAGAAGTCCCCGAAAAGCCTTTGAGATGGCCCCTCTTAATAGGTACTTGATTTCTATTTTTTGTATACTCCGTGTTTACACATTATTCCAAGTTCGATGTTAATCCTGAAATGTGGCTGTGATGTTAGTAGATATAATGTGTTTGAATAATTTCTCATTTCATAGTTCCTGAGGTTTGCCTGTATTTTTCTGAATCGACGAAAGTATGAAACTGAAACACTAAGAAGGTAGCCTGTTGCACAAAGCACCATGAGAGAAATGGAGTGAACTTGCTTTATCAGGAAATATTACCAAATAACATTTCTTATCTCATTTATTGATTTAGTAAGTTATTGAATTTGATCACGAAGCAACATGAAACTAGTCTATTTATTCGTTGATTCTGTCTACACTAAGAACTTTGAAAAAGGAACAAGAAATTTTTATTGGGTATTGTTAGCAAGTTTGTAGTTGCAATGCAGTACAACAAGTAAATTTATTGGGAGTTAAATTTGGCGACTCGTAGGTAACTTTGTTGGGAGTTAAACCATTATCCCAAGTTAATCTCTTTTTAAAATTCTTATCCGGTGTTAAGATTTACATGTATTAGTTTCCTGCCTGATCCATTTCTATGGGCAAGCTGTCAAGAGATTTTATTTGGTTAGGATGGAGTGTATTACCAGTTTAAAGATAATTAGAGTTTTGAGATGTATACCAAAACCCACTTAGACGATAAAGAGTACAAGATCACGGTAATAATACAATGAAGTATCCTCTTTCATGATTTGGTTGCTGATGATTCTTCAACATTTGATATAGTTCAACAACTAAGTTTTGTGAGATCATTAGGATTTATGAATGTATTGGAATTTTGAAGAATTATGTCCCTTCATTCTGCTTTTGCATGTCACATTGAAATGCGAAAAGACTTCTTTTTGTCTCCGAAAAAGAGTTATACTTAAAATTGGGGAAATATATGGTGTCCAACTATCACAATTCAAAATACCTTCTTATTTCTCTTTACAGTATATTCACAGCACCTTTCTTGCTCACTTTACCACACATTTACTGCAGCTCCCTATAATCTTTTACACCTATATAGGCCGTGTTTGGCATACATTTGTTACGTGTGAGATGGTTATGCTTACTGTTTGGGTGTCTGTTATATGTTATAGTTTAAGAACAAATGTTATACGGAGTAGTTGTTTAAGAAAGAACGTTTGGTAAAATGAGTTGTTTGTGTCAGCTCTTTGAGGTTTTAAATGTAAAAAGTTGCAGACAGAAAGAATTCTCCCAAAAACTTTGAAGACAAACTTATTTTTTTATCGGAAGGGAGGGCAAAGAGCGCAGGACCGCAATATAGGTACTTCGCTGACACACTTCTAGCCCAACGTCAGCCCATTTTATCTTCATCCAAAGCTTGAAGCACTGAAGACACTTTTTTTTAACCTAGCTTGTTAGAACAAAAAAACCTGTCTGAATAAGCTATCCACCAAACATTTCAAATAGTTATTTTGCTACCCATTTGCGTATAAAAGTACTACTAGGAAGTTCCCTAAAAAGAACCTTGCTAAACACCCCCATAATGATGTGCTATTTGCCTTTTCTCTATCTGGTATCAGTTTCATATATTAGAATTAATACAAATCTTCTTTTTATATTGATGTCCTTGCTTGCTAGCGCTAACAGCTAGAGTCCTGATATCATACATCTTCTGTTCCAAAATGTTGAGCCTTTATGAAAAGCGGTGCCAAACTTTGACCATTAATTTCTCTTGAAATACATAGTACTTTCTCTGTCCCTTAATAATTGCTTCACTTTCCGTTTTTGTTCGTCCCAAATAAGTGTCTTATTTTATTTGAAGAAAATGTTCATGTGGTTCACACCACTTATCTCTCTGCATAAATTTTTACCACACTTTTCACTTATTGATTCTTTCTTAAACTCCATGAAGGCAAACATAGACAATTTTTTATAGGAAAGAGGGAGAACAAAATTATAAACTTAACAGATTCAAAACTACTTTTCATCGTAAATAAAACAAAACAAATATTACGGAGTATCATTTTTTGACTTTGTTAGTTAAGAGAAGTTAATAGTCAAAGTTTGACACAAATTTTCAAAATAGCCTACATTTCTGGACGGAGAGGTAGAGTAATATTCCACACTTGCAAACTTTTGTCCCATAGAAAGAGTCTAATTTGATCAAATGAAGCTAATGTTTCATATAATTTGCCTTAAATGAGTTCCATACAAATTAGTTATGATAAGTTTAGCTAAACCAACAATTTAATTTTAAAAACATACGAAGTATTGTTCATGATTTATGAAAGTTGCACCTCACCAAAAATCAAAACTTGTACTTTTGTCAAACCCGAGCTTTTTTTATTTCTGGTATAAAGGCAGTAATCTATTTGATATAAGCACATCCACTGAAAATATGTATTTCTTCTTATGCTACTGCTCCGCGACAAGTGGCTTTTCAAGTGTAGTTTGTGCTGACATTCAGCATACACTCTCTTGGATATATGCATGTATATGCATTGGTTTTTGCACTTGTCAGTTATTGCTCATGCATAGCCATAACATATCTCCTGCTTGTTCTCAATACTGTGCAGTATTGGCCCTTCTTCTATACACCTGGAGGACTGTCTGGTGGGAACTGTCTCCATATATTATGCCGGTGGCAGGTGTTTTCTGGTGGTCTATACAATCGATAGGATATATCTTGAGATTTGGGTTCGTCTATGTTTTATGGGTTTTAACCCACCCATTGTTCGCCTCCATCAGATTAGTCGAAACAATACTCAACACAATTCAAGATTTCTACTCACTGATAATAAACCACACTCCTATTCAAGAACTCACAAAAGGTGTCATTTTGGCCTCTTTGGTGCTTTCCATAGCTGAGGCTGCTGTTCCAGGTTCTGTAAACAGACAACCTTATCTTCTGACTGTTGCTGGGATTATCGGATTCGTTGCCGTGAGAGGTTACATTTCAGAGCTTTTCTTTTGGACGCTTCTGCTGGGTTTGTTTAGCTTTGGTCGGTGGGTTAAGAATAGGGATTATGTGTCTTCGGCATTGCCAGTTGCTGCTGTGTTAGCTGCAGTTGGAGAGCCATGGATTCAAGCACTTGCAATGGTTTCATACCTTTCTTTGGCAGTTGTTCAGTACTCCAGGGGGGCTACAGATGAAAAGGAAGGAGAAGGCGCCGGTATGGATATGAGGGCCCCGTGTCCTTTGCTCTGGGCTGCGTTCGCAATCTGTGTTCGGCTTGCTGCTAAATGGACCGGGTATCGGCATTTGACTTGGATGGTTGCTTGACTACTTCCATCTCAACTATACTTGCCTTTTCAGCTTGCAGGATTTTGCCAGCAGAATTGAAATTTTGTTGTGTAATTCAATTGCTTCTCTTGTTTTTTATTTATATAAATGATGTTGGATTGGTGGAATCTCTATGACTAGGAATAGCATGTGAAAATATTTTAGGCACTTCAAGCTTCTGCCCTATGATGAAAAGTTTCTACATTTTATTTTTATTTCATGAAGAAATGTGTGAAAATGAGCACTCTACTCATTCAAAATAAACATATTATTTTGTTGATTCAAAATGGATATTCGTCGGATGTAGGGGTGGACACGGTACCGGTACAGTACCGGTACCGGAAACGGTACCGCCGGTTCCGGTACCGTTACCGTCGGCCGGTACGGTCCACCGGTTCCGGGAACCGGTACCGGTACCGCTCAATCCGGTACCGGTTCCGGTGCCCATTTTTCGGTACCGGCACCGGCGGTTCCGGTTCCGGTACCGTTACCGTTTTTTTTTATTTTTTTTATTTCATTCTTTCCTTTATCAATTTCATTTTTAGATTTTTTTATTTCATCATTTCCTTTAACAATTACACATTTACAATTTTACATTTTAAAAATATAATAAAAAAGCAAAAAAAAAAACAAGATTAGGGGTGGCCGAAACGGTACCGGAAACGGTACCGGAACCGGCGGTACCGGAACCGGAACCGGTACCGGTACCAAGGGGTGGCGGTACCGGAACCGTACCGTGTCCACCCCTAGTCGGATGTACCTAACTCTAGGTACACATGATTGTCCCGTTGACATAGATTTAAGTACATCGAATGAATACTCGAGCTTGATAATAATTTTATTCTATTTTATTTAAAAAGATGTTTTTTGGAAGAACTCGCTAGATATGAGTAAAAAATTACTCCGGGTATAAAAATATCAAAATTGAAGTCACAAGTTTTTTTAAGACCAAAATAAGAGTTTACACAACTATTTTTACACTACCACACTCACTATATTGTCACATTTAACGATCACACTATCAATGCCACACTGCCATTCGTCGCTGCCGGCCACCAGAGTATCGCTACAAATCGGCGGCTGTTGACTGATCACACCTACAAAGCTATAGTGTCACTACTTTTCCATCACACTGCCAATGCGTATTCTTACACCACACTGCTATTATACTCTTATTTTGGTCTTAAAATAAATAGAACTGTTATTTTGGTATTTTCAAACTTTTTTACTCCAATCAAGGGAGATTTCATTTTTTTCTTCAAAAATACGGAGTACAAAATTTCTTATATGCAAATTCTTTTTCGTGGTACTAAGGTCCATGCTCGTGTTATGGACATTGGTGCTCGTGTTTTGTAGGTGTAAAATTAAAAAATAAAATTTATATATTTAAACACAACATCAAAAGTTCTACTCCCTCCGTTCTCAAAAACACTTCCTCTTTCATTTTTTCCACTTCCAACAAAACACTTTCATATTCTATTAAAAAACCACTTTTACCCTTAGTTTTTCATACCTTACCTATCACATCATACTTTTTCTCTAATAATCTATCCACCACATCTTACTTTTACCCATCACATCAGGGGAAAAATTGGAAATCAACTACTCCGTATAATTTAACACTTCTTTATTTTTGCCCCAAATCAAAATGAGAAGTTTTTTGCAAACGGAGAGAGTACAAAACAAGAGGTGACAAAAATAAGTAAGGAAAGTGATTTAAGTTTGACTGTGTAAATAGTAACTGAAAAAATAACTTTAGAACGGAGGAATATAAAAAGTTGGGCCTTTGACAAAAAAAAGAAGAAAAAACCACTTCCTAGTTCATAACAATTTTATATGTAGGGGAAGAACAAGTCTTTCTTATATTCTCACAATTAAAACGGGCCTCTACGGTAGAAATGTGATTTTTGCTCGTTACAATTCACGTCAGCCCTAGAAATATGCCCGTTTTCAAGTGCCTCGCCGCAGTCCCTCCCCTATATAGATGGAGACGATCCTCCATACACATCTCGTCATCCAGATATCATAAACCCTTCCATCTCTTCGCGATCTAGTTCTTGGTTCGGTGTTTTCGTTTTTCATCGTGTTCATATGAATTCTTTTCGCATCAAACCGTGTTTTGAAATTCTTGATTTTTCTATTAGTTTTCAGTCTCTGAGCAGATCTTGTTCATCGGGTGATGATAAATTGAATTATACAGTTATCCCTGTCTGATGCTTCCATCTGCTGAGAATTCATCTCAAATCTGACGATGAACATAGATTTCAGAAGCGATTTCAGAAGGATGTAGTCATTCCTGCATCCCTCTGTTAATTTTCTGTCTTAATCTCGATGATAATTACTTTTAGATTGGCCTGGATTCGGTATCTTCGCACGTCGCTCTCCCAGGCTCGTCTGAGTTCTTGAGGAAGAAGAAGCAGCCCCAATGCTCGTGCGAAATCAAACCAGCCGCTAGTGTTGCAGTTAAGCCCTTGTACATCTTTTTCCGTGGCTTTTCTGTGTCAAATCTACGGCGACACTACAGTTTTCTTTTGATTCTAATCATCTGTTTGAATTTTTTTGAATTTGTTCTTGCGGTTTTGCTTTCCTTCTCACCTTTAGCTTCCTTTCGAAGTTTTCATGAAAGATGCGCTAGTCATAGAGGCAGGGATATAAATCTGGTTTGAAGCGGTGATTTCATTTTTGTTTTTGATTTACACATCTATTGGAACTGCTATATTTTTTGTGTTTCAAACTTGAATCTCTGGTTCTTTTTTTTTGAAGAATTTGGCGATGATGAGTGTTTCATCCGCGCTTCCGAGCTTTGGCAATGAAGCAGAAAAATAACAATGGTTGAATTTCTTAATATGAGCCATAAATTTTTTAGCCCCAGATTTATGGTTTGAGTTAGTTGATCTACTGCTGTGATGATAACAATTCAGCTTTAAACGCCAGTTCTGCTTCTGAACATCATTGATTGAAAAAGCTGTTTTTGTTCTGAGCCTCTTAAGATCTCTCTCTTTTCCTCCACGTTTTGCCTTTTTAGTCTTGAGTTTTCCATTGAGTTTAACTATACTCTTTCCTGCTTTTATGGGCTTAGGGTCTGAAAAACTCAGAAAGCCATGTGTTATCTATCAGCTTCTTCTCTGCAAAAACTGAGCTTGGAGTTAAATCATAACACAAAATCTCTTTTTGATATTGATAACCATCTTCATATGCTCGATTTTATCAAACTTTTGCCATTGATGATCAAATCCATATAAATGAGGTGTGGTGGAGCCAGGTTCCTGCTTGCCAGGATGAACCTCCTGTGTGAAGTCATTCCATATGATATTTCTGGATTTAACTGAGGCAAATCTTTATCTTAATATTTCACCTTTGAATTATTTATTTATTTACACAATCTTTTTTTAGTGATTGCTAGTGAGGATTTTAATCCATTTAACCTGAGATGTGGTGGATCTGGGTTCCTGCTATGCAGGGCGAACCTCCCAGGGAAACTGCATTCATATGAATTTTCTGGATTTAACTGAGGCAATCAAAATTTCTTTGTTTTCTGCGGCCAGCATTGAGTTTATCTATTTCAGCAACCAAATGGCTATTGGTTTGTCTTGCAGACTGAAGACTCATAGATTGAGTCCTGTCCATCACCTCCTATCTTAGGATATCAATTGGAATGGAGTCAAATATAGCACAATATACTTTGTCATATTTTACATTGAATTTGTGTTGGATATTTTTCTTGATTTGCAGGCTTTTTGTATCTGCATTTAGGTTCCCTGCGTTTCTACCCTAGTTTGCAACCCCGAGGAAGATTGCAATTGTAATTGGAAGCATAATTGAAGAACCATGCTTTTTTCCCCACTGTCTTGGACACAAATGTAAACTTGTGTCCCAAAAATGTAATACTATTCACCTTTTTTAATTTAAATTTGCTTAATTTATACAGATGTCTAAAATGATTGAATTGACGAACATGTCCTTGCGTGATGTTAAACACAAAATGATCAAGCACAAGAATGAAAAGAAAATTTTTGGATCTCAATCAATGCTAAATACATAGTGACTCAAAAAATTTGTTCTTTATAATGTCCATGAAACAACTTGAATGCCAATTGCCAAGAGTGAATTAAAAAGAGTTGGAGTAGTTAATTACGCCTTGAATTCTGCCTTAAACGCGAGAGAACAAAGAGGAGATTCGATAGGGGTTAGGGGTAGCCACCCCTTCATATCTTCAAAAGAAGGGGTCGAAAAGTTTCAACTTGCTTTGTAATTTATAGGACAGAAATATTCATCGGTAAAAGTTTAAAATAAAGTTTAAATATTGAAAGTTATATTATTATATTATGAAGTCTACAATTTTTTGACATTGATTGGTAGGGCTAGGGGTGGACACGGTACGGTTCTGGGACGGTTCCGGTTCCGGAACCGCCGGTTCCGGTACCGCCACCCCGAGTAACCGGATAGTATACCGTGCCGGCCGGTACCGGTTCCGGTTCCCGGACCGGCCTGTTTCGCCCCCCCTATTTTTTTTTTTAAATTTTTAAATTATAAAATTGTAAATTTGCAAATTGCAATTGTTTAAGGAAAGAATGAAATAAAAAATCTAAAAATGTAGTTATTTAAATATTGAAAATGAGTAATACACTAACTGAAGAACAACCACATTTAATATCCTGACAGTTCAAAAAAAGCGACGAGGTAAAGAACCGTAAAGAAATCCTCGAAGGAGCTTATATATCGCTCACTTAAAAAAATTAATTACATATTTACATTAACATAAAAAAAATTTATAACTTATTCTTCAGAACTCAGACTTTCATCTGTGGTTGCATTCATGTAATGCTCCGATTTGAGTTGGTACGATGACTCTTGAGCCCGACGTCTTGCCAAGAGCCAATCTAGGTTGCAAACCAGTGTTTCAAGAGATTCAGCGTTAAGACAACTTCGGTAGTCGGTTAGAATGTTGCCGCCAGCACTGAATTCTCGTTCAACTGCTACGGTTGATACTGGGACGGACAACACTTGTCTTGCTAGCATGCCGAGACATGGGAACATGTGTTCGTTCCGCTTCCACCATCCGAGCACGTCAAAATCGACATC